GCCAAGAGTCATTCTGCTGGCAAGTGTCACCTTGGTCTGATTCCAGAGCCAGTTCTTATTCTATACTGCCTCCTTTCTTGCGCTACTTTTTATTAGCAGACATTTTACCACTAAAAGGGCCAGAAATCAGCGCGAGGCTATTGCAGGTAAACTGCTGACAGGATGAACTGAGGGACCTGGAACATAAGCTTCCCCAGGGAACCCAGAAAGCTCAGTAAAAGCAGTTGAAGAGGAATGAGCAATACTTAAATGCTTTCAGCAAACAGGGCCATTTCCTCCTTTTCAATTGCTCTTGCCAAGCTGAGCGCAGGCCTTGCCGCTCCTGTCAACTGCTGCAGCCTGCTGTGGGGAAATTATGCAGTGGGGGACTTTTTAAAATCATAGACTTTTTCTTTGATCCTTGGGAGAAAGGGGAAAAAAGAGAAAAGAGTTCCCAGCAGAGAAGAAAATTTATAAATAATATGAACAATGGAATAAAGCCTACAAATATCTGCTGTCAAAAGATAAACTAAGAATAGCAGTAAGAAAGGAACAGATAAAAGTAAATTAACATATAAAATTTTCCCCAGATCTGCCGCAAAAAGATTTTTCTATTTATGTAGAACATCAATTGATGCAAATCTGGATGAGAAAAACTTGATAGCCCCAAACATCTATATGTCACACCTGAAAATAACAGTAGGGTTGTGATCATCTACAAAGCGTACAGAATTTAAATGGTAACTGGGGAACATTTTCAGAACAACACTGAGCAAGACTAACAGGGTTTCTGTCTTAGACTCTCACAAGGGAAGAATCGAAGAAATAAACATTACAATAGCAGTGGACATTACACAGTAGCCGTTCATAGCACTATGGAGAAAACTGGGTTCAACAATCTTCCCAGCTCAGGTTGGAGGGGACAGGAAAGGCCTGCTAGAGGAAATAACATCTGCAACCTAGAGAAATGGTAGCTGCCTGGTGAACAAGTGAGGGTGTTAGGAGGGGTCCAGCCTGAAGTGGGAAGAATGGGTCACTGTGGGAGACCTAAGGTTCCATATATCACCATGCAGAGAGAGCGCAGCAAGGCTGGACGTGGGCAGATTGGGCCAAGCTCACATACAGCTAGTAAGAATGTGGGACTTGATTCTAAAAGCAAATAGCAATGTGAACCTGTAAAATACTCTGGCAATAATGTACAAATTAGAAGCAGGCAAGAGTAAGTGCAAGGCAAACAGTTAGGGGGCCGTTCGGAACCCAGGCAAGATGGGATGGCAGAAGAGAGGAAGGTGGGGACAATGGAGAAAGCGAACACAGTAGGAGATTCTGAGGGCGCAGAGACACTTAGGGTACAAAAACTGGGTAAGAGGAAGGAGGATAAGAAGGAAAGGAGGAGGATGTGCAAATTCCAAGTTTGGAAAACTAGAAAATTAAATGATGGTACTGATGACTTAGAAGAAACGTTGAGCAGGGAAGTTTTTTATTTTTAGTTTGAGGCACCCATAAAGCATCCAAATAGACAAGAAAACAGGTGAATGGAGTTCAATTCTGGAACTCAGCAGAGGTCTTTTTGGAGATAAAAATTGGGGATTTGGCCACCGAGAGCTGGTGAATGAAGAGTGGGTGAGATCTAGCCAGGGGAGGATGAGACATGACAAGGCCCAAGGCAGAGCCCTGAAACTGCTGTCTGCCTGCCTGAGTACAGGACAGCTGGCACAGAGGATATGAAGAGGAGCCAGGGACAGCAGGAGAAGGAAGAACATAATAAAAACTACAAAAACAAATAAATAGACATCCATATTCATAGATTAAAATGCTTAATTCTGTTAAAATGTCCAGACCACAAAGTGATCTACATATTTGATGCAATACCTATCAAAATCTTAATAGTACTTTTGGTACAAATAGGGGGAAAAAAATCCTAAAATTCAAGTGGAATCTAGCTCAAGAGACTCCAAACAGCTGAAACAATCTGGAAAGGAACAAAGTTGGAGGTCCTGTACTTTCTAATTTCAAGACTTGTTACAAAGCTACAATAATCAAAACAGTGTGGTAGTGGAATAAAGACAAATATATAGATGAGTGGGAAGGAAACAGAGAGCCCAGAAATAAATCCTCACATATATGGTTAGAGTACTGAAACCATGCAACAGGACACTTTTCAACAAATGGTGTCAGGAAACCTGGATAGCCACATGCAAAAAAATTAAGTAGGACCTTTATCTTATACCATATACAAAAATGAACTTGAAACATAGACTAATAACCTAAACATAGACCTAAAACTATAAAATTCCTAAAGAAAATGTACAGGAAAAGCCTCCTGACTCTGGATTTGGCAATAATTTCTTGCACATAGTAGTACCAAAGGCACACACAACAAAAGCAAAAACAGATAAATAGAACTACAACAAATTTTAAAACTTCTGTACACCAAAGGACACAGTTAACAAACTGAAACATACAAAATGAGGAAAAAGGGGCTGGGGATTTAGCTCAGTGGCACAGCACCTGCCTGGCGAGCGTAATGTCATGAGTTTGATTCCCAGTACCAGAAAAAAAAATGAAAAAAGAAAAAAAAAGCAAGAAACAAAATGAGGAAAAATATTTGCGATTCACGTTATGTTCTAAAGGGTTAATATCCAGAATATAGAAAGAAATCCTACAATTTAACAACAATTAAAAAAAATAAGCCAATTGAAAATCAGGCAAAAGACCTAAACAGATATTTCATCAAAGACATATAAATGACCAACAAGTATGTAAAAAAGCACTGAATATCATCAACCAGTAGAGAAATGCAAATCAAAACTGCAATGAGCTATTATGTCACACCCATCAGGATGGCGTTACTATCAAAAAACAAAACTCATACATTATATGTGAGAATGTGGAGAAATTGGAACTCTATGCTGGGATTTATAAAATCATACAGTTGCCATGGAAAACAGTATGAAAGTCCCTCAAAAAATTAAGAATAGAATTACCACATGATCTAGCAATCCCACTTCCAGGCATGTTATCTAAAAGAAGTGAAGGCAGGAACTTAGAGATATTCACACACCCACATTCAAGACAGCATGATTCACAATAGCCAAGGGACAGAAGCAACCCCACATGTCCACTGACAGAGGAATGGAGAAAATGTACATAAATCCAATGGGATAATAATTAATCAACCTTTATAAAGAAATCCTTCCATGTGTTATAACATGGGTGAACTCTAAGGACATTTTGCTAAGTAAAAAAAAAGCCAGTTACAAAAGGACAAATACTATACAGAAAACTCACAGAAACAGAGATCAGAATGGTGATTGCCAGGAGCTGGAAAGAGCAGAAAAAGGGCAGCTGTTGTTCAATCACATAGACTTTCAGTTTTGTGAAACACAAATGTTCTAGAGATCTATTGTACATCAATGTGAATATGCTTAACACTAGTAACCTGCACATTCACAAACACTTAAGGTGGTAAACTTTATGTTAGGTGTTTTTCACCACAATTCAAAAATAAAAGAAGCCAAATATTGCTAAAGCATGTAGAAGAAAAGTGAGAGAAAAAGAAGAACAGGAGGACAATGGGAGTTTGCATGTAGGTTGGTAACCCTGAAGGTCAAGGGTGGACACAGAACAGGAGGAGGCCTGCAGGATCCTCCCACACTTCCAGTTCAAGCTGTTTTAGAACCAATTTGGAACAAGACCTTCACTCCTGCTGGACACCTAGTAGGCCTTTTTTTTAAAGTCTGAAGACTGTGAGGGCAAGAAATGATTATAGTTCATCTCTGTACACATCCAGAACAGCGAACACAGCTCCTCGAGTGTTCACTGAGTCTTGGAAGCAGCAGTAACCCCTGGTGGGAAAGAGGGGATGCTGGTTGAGCTCACAGCTCCTACAAGAAGGTATAGGAGCCTGTTTGGGGCTCACATGTAGTTAGATAAGGGAGGAAAAGCCAAACATTACACACCTCATATTCCACTTGTTAAAATATCTGTGCCACTCTGGGCTTTTCTTGTATTACAAATAGTCTGCTCTTTTCTTTGGATATTAATTAACAGAATTCAAATGCTTAGCTTTGAGAATACTTAGGAGGAAAAGAAGGGGGCTAGCTTCCAACCTGTACAGCTGCAAAAAAGCAGACACCACACACTGCATTATAAAGTTATTTCTGACAGTGGTGAATTGAGGATGTTCACAAAAGTAATAGTCTGAATCCCCTTTCCAAAGTGGAGATTTCTAATACAAAACATACCCATTCTATTTTCTGTTTAACAAAGCAATCTTTTAAGACATCTGGATTTCAGTGTTACTACATCATATTAAGCTGTGACAGACACTTGATCCACAAAAGACTGCAATTGGATTGCCTATTTTAATACTTTTATGATTTCTGTACAAACACTTCTCCGTTTATTTAAATCTTATTACCATATTAAACCCGAAGAGGAGCTCTGGTGCTTTCTTCTCCCTCTATGCCTAAAGGCTAATAAAATCCACGAATTCCTTATTCAAACAAAAGGGTTGAGTCTTTGTCTCATTTAAATTAAACTAGGCTAATGGGATAGATGAAGGTAGTCACACGGGATGGAGGACAGAGAGCTAATAAGTGCCCGGCAGCTGGAGTGATGACAGATCAAGAGAACAAAAGAAAGTAAGTCCCAGGGAGAGACCTGAGTTCCAATCCCCATCCACTACGAACTTGAGAAAGGACTTTACCCTCTTAAGGATGGGCCCTAATTTCTTCATCTCTAAATAAAACAAATAAAAACAGTTTCTCCTTCAATCTCTCTATTATAATCTATTTCTACTGAAGTATGAATGTCAATTGTTCCCTAGAGTTTCAAGGATATATAACTGGTTACAACAAGAAGCTTTTGCTTTGTCTGGTTTCTGGTTTGAACAATTTTCTTTTCACACCTCAATATTTTACAGAGACAAGCAGGGCTGGAAAGAATCTCAACCTCAGGCCCTTCTGGGCTGTTCTCTGTTTGAGGGTGCAGGCGGGGTTGAGGATGTCCATAGTTACCAGTGTTTTCCATACAGCCAGTGGCTTCCCCATGTCAGCAGGCAGAGCCCAGCTGTGGTTTTCTTCCAGTGATTTCGAAGAGTTTTAAAGAACACAGTCATCTTCTCCTAGAAATTTTCCTAGGTTTCTGGGAGGCAGAAAAAGAAAAAAGAAAAAAAAAGAATTATCCCAGGTAATCATGTAGCACCCTATTACTCTTCTCCCATTCTTTCAGCTGCTCTCTCTCTTTTCCTTCCATTTGGTTGTCTCCTTCGCAAGTACGCTCTGGTCTCTTCTCATCTTTACCCTTCTAATCTCATCACTGTCACCTTCTCACCTGGCCACCTACCCATCACTTTTTCTTCATTGTATCAGAACCCAACAACACAGTAGTAAGGACCTACTCCAAACAGAAGAAAACACCAGGTCCTCACAAGGAAAGTAAGCAGAGAACATACAAAGAAAACTCAATGGAGAAATGCTATGTAAAAATGCTCAGCTTACAAAGTAACAGAAGACAAGTAAATCACAAAAAACTATCATTACCTATAAAACTAACAAAATGTTTAATTACCATATTCACTATTAACAAAATACTATGAGGCAGACATTTACACACCCCTAGAAAAAGGTAACTCAGCACAATTTCACTAAAAACCAAAGTGACAAAAATATATCCTTATTCTGATAGTCTCATCACTTGATGATACTTATTTGCTCTTTGTTAATAAGCTTATCCCACTGGGATGTAAACTCCATGAGAGTTTTGTGCTGGTCACTGCTAGATTCCATGCCTCAAGTAAGATCTGGTACATAACAGCTATTTGACAAATGTCTATTCAATGTATAAGTCATGCAGCAACTAAAGTTTTTTACTGAGAATTTTTACAGATGTGGAAGAAACTCAAACTATGTCAAGTAAAATTAACATGATAAAAAGACATGTAACTGGTATTATCCCATTATTTTCAGATGAGATCGGGCATGTTCGGGGTGGTATGGCCATAGTCTATCCTATTATTTTCAAATATGACTATAAATTGACTATAAATTAAAAATACCAATACAAATAAACAAAAATTTTAAAGCAATTTCCTCTACATTGTGGGATGGCAGGTGATGTTTATTTTTTAAATTCAACTGTATATGTTATCCAAAATTAATATAAATTATTTTCTAAACAGATACAAATGGAAGCAAAAGTACTAATAACTATGGGTGAAAGAGGTAAAGAGATCATGAAAACAGCTCCTTCTACTGAGAAGTCCAGTGCTTTTACAACTTCCGATAGCACACACTGATTGAAAAGAAGCATCTTTATTGCAACAGCAATGAAGCCAGTGCCAGGGAGCCTGCCTACCCATGAATCTTGGACCCTGTCCAGAGTGGTAGAGAAGTTCCCAAAGGCCCATCTAACTGTTGAACTCCTGTCCACCCAGCCCTAAACCACTCCTTCATTCAAGAGGCCTTTAATAAACACCTAGATGACAGGCTCTGTGCCAGGAGCTAGGACACAGGACAGAAAGTCCCATTCTCAAGTGCTCACAACTGTTAAACCCACAATCACAACACAACTGCACAATGATGGCTTTGATGCAGGGGGATGAATGCTGAAGAGTGAGTATAGGCCCTGTCCACAAGCACAGACCTAACCTGGGCTGGGAGTGAAGGCACCATGCAGGCTCACCAAGCCTTCCAAATCTTAAAGATTGAGGAGTCCCCAAGTGAAGAAGGACCTATCAGTATGCGATGATCCAAATGTGTCCCTCTAAAATCATATGTTTGAGTCCTAATCCCCACTGAGATGGTATTAGGACCAAGCACCTTTGGGAGGTAATTACGTTATAAGGGAAACACCCTTATTAATAAGGTAAGTGTCCCTATAAAAAGCAGACAGATTCCCTTATTCTCACATTTTCTCTCTCTCCATCCAAAATGTGAGGACACAGCAAACCTGTGTAAACCAGTAAGAGGATTCTTACCAAGACGCCAGTGCTGGCACCTTGATTTCGGACTTGTGGCTTCTAAAACTATGAGAAATTTCTGTTGTTTAAAGGAGTATAACACATTTTTTAATCAAGGTGCAGAAACATGGGTTGGCAAGGTCCACATGGATCCATCAGATGCACATTTGTTCTTTAAAATATTTCTAATGATGAATTATTAATTTTAATTTTATAAGTTTTATATTTAACAATGAGCACTTAATATGAAAAAATCATGAATGTATTTAATTTTTAATATTTATTGAGCATATATTTAATAAGCATTTACTTAATATATATTAAGCATTTAAATTTTTATTTAAATGCTTAGTATACTTTAAATTAGTACACTTAGTACAATTTCAATTTAAATTTAACTGGTTTTTGGTGTACTAAGTCTTAAAAAAGAACAACACAAATTCTTATATGAATTACAATGAAAATACCAATAGCACTTTACCAAAAAATCTTTACTTCAGTGACCACACCTAAAGCGGTCTGCACATATCACAAGAGCATGTTCGACACACATGCAACACTTACACTCACAGTACATGTGTTTTGCTTTCCTGGCCCTTTTGTAGGACATATTTGATATCTCAATGGTCTTCCTGTTTGTCAGGAGGTTCTTATTATATTATACAATGTAAGTTAACAGAACATAAAATATCAATAAAATATTAAATTCTTAATATGTATTGTGCATTTGGAATAAACATCAACATTTTCACATCAGCTGTGTAGTTGCTTACAAAACCTAAAAGATAACATCAGAAGTAAATTCCTGTATGAACTACAATGAAAATATCAACAGAATTCTACCATAAAAATAAGCTTTGCTTCAACTGTCACACCCAAGGCAGTCTTCACACATGACAGTTGTATATTCCATGCACACATTTCACATGACAGCACGTGTGCTTAACTTTCCTCTCCTATGTGACACTCTTGTTACTTCTCTTTGTTTCATCAGGAGCTTCCTACTACATTGTACAATATGTACTTAGGAGGGAAATAAGATATCAATAGAATATCAAATATGTAACAAGTGCTTAGACATCAACATTTTCACATCAGCTATTTACTTGCTTATAAAACCTAAAGGATAACATCAAAAATAAAAACGTATGTGAACTACAATGTAAACACAAACAAAAGTCTACCACAGAAATACGCTTCGTTTCAACTGTCACTCAAGCAGCATTCACACATGACAACTGCATGTTCCATATGTAAGTATTGCTTACATTGATACCACGTACATTGTTTTCCTGTACATTCTCGTAGGGCATAGTTGACATCTTTTTTGTTTTCCTGTTGTCATAGTAGGTCTTCGTGATGCTGAGCCTGCCTGTTTACCTGTCACCTCACCAGTGTGCTCCACAATTTTTTTGTATACTTCCCTGGGCAGAAACATTTTGCTTTTCCTCTGCTGTAAATGATCTCTTATGAGCTGCAGTCCCAAGTCTTCAAGAAAATTTCTCCATAGTTTTTACTTGTTATTTTCTTTGTAAACTATCAAATTATTTATGCCACACATGTTTAGGATTGAGTAAAACACAAACATTGGTCAATGCTTTGTGTTTCAAGTGACATCACAGTTGCTGCATAACTCATCAACAACATCTACTCCAACTTTGGTTTTGTTGTTGAAAAGTTTCCATCTCAGACTTCCATTTTGTCAAGGTTTCCCTATCAATAGTTCCATCATGATGAAATGGTTACATTACCAGTTTGTTTTTCTTTGCCATATATGAGGCCAATGTTATATCTTCCTGAAGTCTAACATTTGAAATTGCAACATTTCATCTGGAATTTCTGCTTTGTTCCTATGTATAGTACCTGTGCTGGTCAACTTGTGCTCTGTTAGCAAATATAACACCAATTGGAAACTGGTAAACCAACTGTCAAATATCACATTCTGATTAGTTTGGGAGATAGAAGCAACAAGTCTGTTCACAACATCATTTCATTTATATATACAAATAGGGACCTAATGGCTGAGTTCCAGGATAAATGTCTAAACTAAAAGCATAGTAAGTTTTGGCATTTACAAGGGCATGAATTTTTATTACATATTTTGACACACTGCTTTTCAATCAGTCTTTTACACTCTTATGATCACCATGAGAAATCCCTGCTAAATACAGCAGACCTGTGAATGCTTTCAGTTCACCTGTTGAGGTTTTATAATACATTTTTGAATACGGCTACTGGTGCATACAGAACGTTTTACTTGTATTCCAAAACCTGCAAATCTGGTTTTTCATTGTACTGAAATTGGGCTACTTCTACCAGGAAAATTGAAAGAAAACATTTTTTTAACAAATCCTGGAGTGATGTGGGTTTATTGGACCCTCTGTGAATCTCAGGTAAATACACACAAAACAAAGTTACATAGAGCATAATGTAGGTAAAAATCCCATTTTACTACTTGTACACATGTGCGCACATCTTGCTGTTCATCATACCACATGGGTAAACACATAGATTACTTCCTGTATCCATCAGGGAGAAGCACTGAGACACATCGCCAACTATTATTATGCTAGAGTACAAATTTACAGTAGAAAAGTAAGGAGTGGGTCCACTGGACCCTGTCTTATATTCCTCCAGTCTACAGTGTTTTTATTCTAGCAGCATGAACTAAGATAGGTTTAACTAAGGCAAAAAGCCAGCATGTTCACAGAAACACAGGAAGATAGTGTAGGAGAAAAGAGATTGCTCACCCATCACTAGTTTCAAAGCTAAGATTAAAAAGAGATACAAATTTACTTAATTCAATTTTATCTGACACAGGAACCTTAAAAAATGAAGGTCTAAGTAGGAAAACCTACAGATTTTTATGCTAAGTTTGGTGAAGAGTTGTGCAGAAAAATGATTGAACAAAGGGGTAAATTCTAGTGGTAATAATAAAGGAGTGCAGCTGAGCCTTTTTGTTCATTTTACTGTGTCCTCACAGCTTCAGGGACAAGAGTATCTCTTTCCTCCATGTATAGGATGGGCACCTCTCCAATGGGAGTCTTACACGGAATAAGGTCAAAGAACTCTTTCACGATCTGCTTCAGGGGAGAAGAGTCGGAGAAGGTCAGAGAGTGACCTTCCTGCTTCTGTTTCCTCAAATACCAATGTGCCAT